TGACCCATCATCGACGACTACAACCTCATACACCTTAATACCATGCTCAGTGGCATCGACTTGATGCTCCAGTGCACAAAGACACTTGGTGAGGATGGGCAGTCGATTATAAGTGGGGATGACGATGCTCCAAACCCCTGCCTCTCCACAGGAACTGAGCTTATCCCCAGACTCCTCAGGCCCATCAGCTCTCTCCAAGCCCACCGACTCCTCGCAACCAGTGACGGCACCGACAGAAGTCACGTGCTCGAGCCTTCTTGCACAGCAAGTCAAAGACAAAGGAAAGTGCATGCCATTCTTTGACTGAGGGTTTGGGAAAGGCAATGCCCGTAAACATTGATGCCGACGACTACCTCCCTTGTCCCTCCTTCCAAGGAACGCCCACCGTTCAGCAGAGCTGCATGCACCAGTGGTGCTGCTGGTGGTGGCATAGAACCTTCGAGAGTGCCCCCTTATATCATCCCCTCGGTCATCGCAAACTACCAAGCGTATCGGGCCAGCAACTCTTTGTACTTCCCCCTCTCCGAGAGAATTGTTCCTCCTCGAAGAGGCTGAAGGACAAGGGCGCACATCTGTTTCCAGCCTTCGCTCACTGCACCCAAAGAAGGGTCTCCACTCGCTCTTCAGCTTGCCACCACCATTCAGCTGCACTCGGTGTCCAGACTGAGTGAAATGAGGGTACACATTTGGGGTAAGGGTCTTGAAACCTCTGCAACCCTCAACTACGTGACAAGCATTAGCATCGTATGACCGCGACTGCCATCTTTCCGTACCTCCCCCGTAGGAAGACCATTCCCGAGTGTCCGCACAAGAGATCGGATTCAGTCGATAACAATGCACGGGCATTTCTCGCATGCTGGTCATCCTGGCTATGCATGCCATCGCTGTGCCCTGAAAAGTAGTACAGCTCCAGCTACAGTTTGCGCCTCCTGATAAACTTCACAGCTGCAAGAGCACGCACACTGCTATGGCTCCACATCGAAGCACAGGGCTGGATAACACTGGGATCAAAAAAATGATGAGCAGGAATTTCCACAGCTATTGTGAGTGGCTTTGCGGAACTCGCTGCCTCGGGGTTGTCTTCGCGGCTGTATGTCTTATGTTGAGTTGACTTTGGGAAGTTTGGGCACATGCAGCACAGGATATTATGAATGAACCCGACCACATTTGCAGCAGTTTTTTGAGTCCCATGAGGACAGCTCTGTGTTACTACCTCTCCCTTGTCATTGGCTTTCCCTCACTCAGGAAGGCCTGAGCCAACCGGTACCGCCCTTGCATTTCTCCTGCTTTGTCCTTTTCCCTGTAGAGAATCACAAAACAACTTATGTTACCTTCTCATGCCTTGACCTGTGCATCTGCCACTGAAGATGAATCTTGATTAACTTAACTATGGTTGGTTCTATTTCGAAAGAACAAGAAAGAACAAGAAAGAATTTCATTTAGAACAAGAAAGAACAAGAAAGAACAAGAAAAACAAGAAAGAATTTCATTTAGAAAGAAAAAGGAAAGAATTTCATTTAGAAAGAGAAAGAAAACATTTCATTCAGGAAGATAAAAGGAAAGAAAGAAACGAATCTTGATCAACTTGAACTTTTCCTCTGCTTCGCTTATGCAGTTTTTTCTTCCCCTGAAGAAAAAGCACAAAAGAAAGTTATGGAGACACCAACGGGCCTAGCTCAGTTGGTGCACCCATGAACAGTTGAAATGCAGCCCTGAGTTCGTTTCCAGATGGAACTAGATGAATGAAATCAAAAACTTTTGAATCATTTGGGGCCGATCAGGTCCACGGTGATACCTCCTCAAGGCCATCACCCTTTACATACATGGAAAAAAAAAAAAAAAGGAAAGCAGGTGTAATGACCCGACATAACACAGACTGAGAACACTGCTGATTTCTGAAGTTCTGCCGATGGAATGGATGCCTTGCTGAGATTCCCGCATTCTGCTGAGTTTTCTAAGTCTGTATGTGTGCGTGCTTGTTGACCTGCGTGCCTGTCTGAGTGCTTGTCGGCATGAGTGTGTGTGTGACCCGCAAGGGTATTTGCTCGTTTGGCAGGCCCGTAGGGCCAGTACTTACCTGTGGCCGTGATATTGAGGGTTGCAGCAGGGAAAACACTCAAGTAGTGGAGCCAGAGGCCCGCGGCACTTAGAGCAGCGGAAAAAACACTCAAGTAGCAGGTAGGCCGGTACCGCACCCAGTAGCAGTAGATGTGCCGGGTACTCAAGGCCAAGCAGAAGAAGACAAAGTTGGCATTTTTAGAGGCCCAGTAGTGGTAGGCTAGGTCTAGGCCGGTACCAGTCCATCCAGTCTGAGTCTAGAGCCTGTACCGGCAATATCAGAGTCTGCAATGATGTTTCCCTCCGAAAGGGAGGAGGTACCGGTTGCTTGGGAGGCCGAGCGGCCTGGAAGTCACCACCCAGGAGGCAAGTAGGCCGCTATATCCAGAGGCCGAGGGAAGAGCCCAGCCTCATTCTTCAGTGTGCAAGTTTGGCGACACGCTGCTGGAGCGCTGGCTGGAGGAGCGCTGGCTACTACAGCGCTGCTGGGAGGAAGAAGCCGGGAGCTTCCACCTTGGCTATGGTGGAGCTCTACTGGTAGGAGGAGGAGGGAGAAGAGGACCAAGGAGGAAAGTGGCGAGGTACCTACCTGGCTATGGTGGACACCATCTTCATCCCCTTGTTAGGCGCTGCATCTGGAAGGCCCCAGTTGGGGTAGTGCCGCATCGAGGAAGCTCGGGACAGAGTCAGGCATGGGGGCTAAATGGGCAGCGGCATAGCTGCTTGTGTTGACCTTGGGACAGGAGAGCAGTGACATAGCTGCTTTGGGTTGTCCTTTGGACAGGAGGGTAGAGCCCTCAGTACTCCGCCATAGCCTAGGCCTAAACGAAGAGGAAGAGGAAGGGCGGCCATGGCTACGGTGGACCTCATGGTGTGCCTGCAGTAGAAGAGGGATTCGGACATTGATTCTGGTTCGGCCATTCAACATTATTATTGTTATTTCGTGTTTGAATAAGAGTGGAGGAGATAAGGAGGAGGAGATTGGTTGGCGAAGAAGAACATTATCTTTGGTCTATGCTGGAGTACATCTTCTTCTTCTTTCTTCTTTCTTTCTTCTTCTTCTTCTTCTTTCCCGCTCTCTCCTCTCAAGTTCATTCAACTTTTTTCGCAATTGGACGGCATTCTACTTTCTGATGAATGTATACTTCGAAATTGGCCAGGATCGTAACACAGGATTAAAAGAAAAAGCAAAAGAAAATGGAGAATCTCCAAACTCATACACTCGGACTGAACTTGACACCTCATTCTTTCAGACCGGATGCGAGAGAGAGCTCACAACCCGAGGGTTTTTTTTTTTTTTTTTTTTTTTTTAAATGCAGCATCCTTGCATCTACAACACACAACCGCTGTCTGGTGCATTCCTCAGCATTCCTTAAACCCCCAGTACGTCTCCCAGCCAATTTTTCAAAGTCGCAGCTTGCATACTGCCACAACTTTCAGGGCTCGGCCACACAACAGCGTGTCTCCGGCCCAGAGAAAAGTGCCTCGAAAGTAGTGGTGGCTTAAAGTTTAAACCACCACCACCTCCGAGCCTCTTTTGGCCCTCTTTTCCCCATGGCGGATTTCTGCTGCGCACCAAAGGCACAACGAACCCAGGCACTCTTTTTTATCCTTGTTGCCTAGCGTCATCAACAGAAAAGGTCCAGGAGACAAACGGCCTCGCTCCACTACTGTCCACAGTCCAATTTCGGGCAGTGTGACGTCGCTACACTTACTTTTTTTTTTTTTTTTTTTTTTTTCTGTGTTGTACCAATCCCTTCTGGTCACTCAAGACTTTTCCAGCCCTGCCTCCTTGCCAATTTGTGACCCTTCCGTATCAGGTCTCTTCTTGCTATGCCATCTCTGTGTCCTCAGCCCGTAATTCTGCATTGAGTTCTCGCTCCTGCATTGCTCCTCCTTTTCCAATTTCACGAGCCTATCTTGGCCTACAGTCCTGTCTTCTTCCTCTACGTACCCTTTTCGCCCTTTCAGTTCCCCTTGTGTTCCTATCCCCTGGGCCCCTGTCGAACTACCCTCTTTTGTTGGAGTTCAAGACGTGATTAAGCCAACCAACGTTGCCCGTTGCTGAAAGCCCCTTTCTGGCACTGAATTATGCCACTCTTTCCAGCATATACGACCCTCCCTTATCTCTGCAATCTTGCCATTTAGCAACCAATTCCTGTAGAATCTCAGCCTCTCCTTCTTTCGCTGCTCCTCGTCTTCTGTCCAGGCTTGCTTGGTCTTCCGCCATCTACGAAGGATCTCAGCTTGTATCATCGTTCTGGTTTCTGCCCACACCTTCTCCCGTGGGTTGGACTGTCTTTCAATTGTTCTGCTGCATCTCTCCTTCCATATGACCCACAGGGTCACTTTCCTGATAAGTTCAAACCAGATCCTTTCTGCCTTTCGCGCCTGCTCAGGGATGTTAGTCAAGAGGAGAAGTTGAATGAGTTGCTCCGGAAAGGAAGTTGAGAAGAGTGAGTCCCAGAGTGAGGAAGCTCTCGCCCAGTATTCTATCGCCTCTTTACAGTGGACTAGGCAGTGAACTATATCCTCTACCGCGCCTTCGGTGCAGACTGTGCATGTTTCCGAACTGTCGGGATCTGAGTTTTCCCGCCTGATGTGCAGCCATTGGTTCACCGGTAAGGCTGCATAGACTATTAACCATTGTAAGCTTCCGATCTTAATTGGCCTGATAAGCTTGAATCTTTTCCATTGGATTTGCGTGATTTTGTCTGCTTCGTGGCCCAAAATCTTCCGCCATCTGCTTTTGATGACAGGGTCTGGGTGCTCAGAAATCGCGTGGACGATCAGCTGTCCAGCGATGTACAATCAGCTGTCCAGCCTGCAAAAGTCGCTGCAAGGAAGGTCCTTGCTCCATCCAACCCACGGACCCAACTCCTTTTTGGACAGTGAGCCTGGTGTCTAGGGGGGAAAAAACTCTATTGACGCCGCGTTTGCTAGTGAGCTCACGAAACTGGGGAGTGTACAGTGTACAGAGGAAGTGGAGCGATGCGGCTGGGACACAGTTTTTGCTAGCTCTGACTCCTGTCCACACACTTTCGAAAATACTGTACAGTGGACAGTAGTGGAGTGAGACCCAAAGCCCCAGAAGAATGCGCCGTCTGCTGTGGAGCCTCTTTTTCCCTTGGCGGATTTCTGCTGCGAGCCAAGGGCAAAATGAACTGCGCAAAAAAAAAAAAAAAAAAAAAAAAAAAAAAAAAAAAAAAAAAAAAAAAAAAAAAAAACTGCGCATTCTCCTTTTCTGTTTTGGCCCTCTTTGGCTGTCCCCGCCAGCCAAAAGGGTCCAGGAGGCCGAGCCCCAGAAGAATGCCCTGTCTGCACGCCCTCCCCAGAAGAATGCGCTGTCCGCTGGATGCCAAGGGCAAAACAAATCTCTTTTTTTTTTTTTTTCGTTTTTTGGACCGTTTTTCTTCTTTGGCTGGTGCCATCAGCCAAAAAGGTCTGGGAGCCAACTACTAACGAATTGCGTGGGGCCGGTCAGCTCAATGATTATGGGCGTCACTGCACTACTCTTGAAAGGTGCAAAACGAGAGTGAATCTTCCGCTAGAACATGGAAAGATACAGCGACATGATTTTTGTCTTTTGTGCATTTCAAGAGTAGTGCAGCGAGGCCCAATATCTCAAAAGCGTCGGCCCATAGGCCTTCTWWAAAAAAAAAAAAAAAAAAAAAAAAAAAGGTCTGGGAACACGAGCCGCAGAAGAATGCTCTGGTGGGCTACTTCGTTCCAAAAGTTTGCTTGGCAGAGTGTTCAAGACAGGGAGTAGGGGGTGCACGAGGGAGAATGTTGAGGTAGGGAGGGAGGTGCCTTGCCAGCCTGCAACTATAATAGACAGGAGAGTAAGGGGTGCGCTATGGAGAATATTTAGGTAGGGAAGGAGGCGCCTTGCCAGCCTGCAACTATTAGAAAGGAAAAAGGAGGTGGTAAAAAAAATAAAACAAAAAGGAGGAACGAAAAAAAAAAAAAAAAAGAAGGCAAAAAAAGAGGAACGGAAAAAGCTTCAAAAGAGTCAAACGGGAAAATAATATCCCCATTCTCCTAACACACTCAACACACCCCAAAGTCCTCCATTCATTACCCCCCCGGTCCCCCCTCCCGGTCCCCCCCCCCACTCACCTTCCTCTGCATCTATTTCCCACTCAGCCCCTCTTGAATTTCCCCATGATCCCCCTCAACATCTCTGCACCCTCACCCCCTTAGCGAAAAACAAAAGCAAAAAAACAAACAAACTAGGTGAACCTTGACACACCCATGACCCTGTGTGACACCCTTCCACCCTCTCAACATTCCCTATGGGGCCTTTCAGCACCCCCCATTCCTCACATTGCCTTTGACAGCCCCTGACCCACCCAACATCCCCCTCTACTCCGTCCTCACCCCTTGGGGAGGCCTCGACCCTTCTTCCATGCACACCCCACATCCCATGCAATAATCCCCTGCAACTGGCTACCATTACGTTTCCCAGCTAAGAAATCAAATATGCGGCTCAACTATATGCGGCTCAGCTAAGAAATCAAATATGCGGCTTGCATGCAGGCTCAACGTTCGGGGAAGTCCTCAGGCACCGTTTAGCTGGATATCCTTCCCGGGAAAATGGGCCTTTGGATGCATCCCGTTTTGCCCAGATGGATATCCATGCAACCCGTTTTGCCCAGATGGATGGATGGATATCCACGAAACTGCAACCCCGTACTTCCTTGGGAGTCATGCGCCCCAGTACTTCCTGACATTGATATTTATGTTATGGAAAACGGGCCTGGAGTCGTGCGCCCCAGTACTTCCTGACATGGATATCTATTGTCTATTGAAAAAAACGGGCCTCGCATTCAACCCGTTTTGCCCAGACAGATGGATATCCAACGAAACTGCACCCCAGTACTTCTTCCTGAGAGTCGTGCGCCCCAGTACTTCTTCCTCTAGGCTGAGCGTAGTGGCACGCAAGCCACGCCTCGGAAAAATGGCTGGGAAACCCACTGGTGGCTTAACAGTCCAGAAGCCCCCCTTTGACACCCTTCAGACCCCCCCAACCACCTTCAGCAACTCCCCGGTGTCCACTTGCCGCACCTTCCACCCTACTCTCCACCATTCCCGGTGCTACTTTCTCTCCTCCTCCTCCACCTCCTCTTCTTCCTGGGGCTAGGTCCCACTTGCAAGAATTAAGAGATGCTGACCGTCGATAACGAAGATCAATGGCAGATGTCTCTTAATCCCTGCAAGTGGGACCTTGCC